GTTCTTCCCTGCTACCCTCTCCAAGCGAGACCTTGAAAGTGAAATTGTTCTTATTCCCCTGTGCTTCTCCAATATGCTCCCACAGCAGCCAGGAAAGTAAGAGGAGCTTTTATTTTTATTTTTTAAAACTTTTATTTTATTTCAGTGTTCCAGAATTCATTGTTTATGCACCACATCCCATGCTCCATGCAAGAGGAGGGTTTAAACGCGTAGCTCTGATCTGGTCCGTGTTCTGCTTCAAACCCTTCGGTGATTTCCCTTTTCTCTTAGGACAGGGTCCTCATTCTTTAATATGGCTCAGGGACTCCGGGCCTTGAAGCACCGGCACCTGCCTGCCTTCACAGCCCACCTCCCTCCAGGCTTCCGCAGCCACTCCGCCCACCTCTGGCTCCCAGAACAAGCTACTTCCCACTCAGTCTTCACAGGGCTATTTTTTCTGCTTGGAATCATACTCTTCCACTCTGTTGCCTGGCTAGCTTCGGGTCTCTGCTGAAATGTTACTTCCTTGGGGAGGCTTTCTCTGAAGCTCTTTGTTCTTTTCTTTCCCAGTACTTAGCCTTTTGGAAATTAAATAATTATTTGTGTAAGTATGTGTTTCACATCTGTCTCCCTATAGGCCGGCAATGCCACGGGCAGAGAATACTTGTAATTCTATCTCATGACGGCATTCCTGCCACCTAGCACAGTGCCCGGCGCATCGGAGACACTGGACAATTATTTATTGAATGGATGGATGAGTGAATGAAAGAATGGTATAGAAGTCCAGGATACAATCCTAGATGTAAAAACACAAATTTTAGCTATCACTGGATCCCCTGACATTTCTTTGCTGTAGAGAACATGTTTAGCCTCTGTAATTACCGAGTACTTTGAGGGAGTCTTTTGCCATCAGTGGTCAACCTGGAGTGGACATCTTAGGCATCTTGAGCCGACAAAGCCTGCTGTGACCGTGTTTCTGTTGAAAGCTCTTATCAACGACTGAGATGAGGATGTTGGTGTAGCGTTAATGAGACTGACAAAAAAAGCTGGCGCTAGTGACATAATGTGTCCAAAAGGATCTCACTCAACAGGTTAGAAAGGTGGATCAAATAGCAACAGACAATTGAATAAGGAAAAATACAGAATATTGGACCTGGGTGCGCCACATCTAATTGAACAAATACAGGATAAGAGACCTTAAGAGCAAAACATGTGAAATGCATGGAAATTTTAACTCACTGCATGAGTCAGTAGTGTGGCCTGCCTGAGATGCTGATTTGATGTTAGGCTCCTTTAATAGAAGCAGTGTGGAGAAGGATAGAAGTCACAAACTTCCCCAGTTGGAACACCCTTGCCGGGCCATGTCCAGTTCTGAGAAGCAGCGGATGAGGGAGAGTAGAATTTGGTAGAATATAATAGGGCTGTCAAGTAAAGGCAGGACCATTAGATTTGTTCTCTCATAGAGGGAAAGAGAAGACCTGGGGCCACCAGGGAAATTCCAGGGAAGTGTCTCTCAGTATATTGTGGGGAGCTGCCCAGCAGGGGAGCTGCCCAGCAGGGAAGTGGACTGTGTTGAGCTCCCCTCTGCTGAAGGAAATGACACTTGAGGAATTAGACATGAAAGTGCAAACTGAGCTTTGAGAAGCTCTCTGTCAGCTTAGGGAGGGCATCTCAAGGTGGGAGAATCCCTTCCTCCCTCGTGTGTCTCTAGAACCTGGTATAGTTTGGTCCCTCAGCACATTTGGAGTGCCAAGCCAGAGATGCATGGCCAGTTAGGTTAACTATTTATAGAGATCTTGTCCGTTGTGTCTAGAATTCCCTGATCTTGCCTAACTCTTAGAGGATAATCTTAATTTGTCCTTATTTTTATCACAATGGCCACTGTTAGAAGCAACAGAGAGGAGGCAGAAAAACTACTTGTTATAGAGGGAATTCATGCATGGGGTAATAATTGGACAGGCTGCTGTCAAGGTCCCTCATCATTACAATTCTGTCTTTCCAGTAGAAAGCAGAGGAAGTAAGTGCTCTGTCATTAGGGGTAATTAAGAAAAAATGTGGAAAATGCCATAAAGAGCCTTTATCACACACAGGATGAAATATAAGGAAAATTAGAATGATGATCATATTCTATAAAGCTGTTTCTCACAATTGTGGTGGTCAGTAAATATGCCTGGGTACCCCCACCCAGGAGCACTGCCTCCTTGGTCCCCGAGGAGGACTGCAGAGAGATTATGGAGGAGACAGAGTAAATTCCCCTTCTAGAGAGAAAAACAGTAAGTGCATCTCTTCCTGCTCATATTCCATTTTCTATTATTCTCTTTGAATCTATGTGATGGAGCTTATTTTCTATGAAGGAGCCAATAAAATGTACCTGAAAAGAGATACATGGCCAACTAAAAATTATTTTTCTTTAGTTCTCTTTCTTTTCCTTGGTTTGGACCTGAAAACTTACTTTCAGGGGAAAAAAAAAGGAAAAGAAAAGCAAACACATGTAGCTAAGATTGTCCATCAACCTGTGTCAGAGGGTGACATGCAAATAGTCTCATGAAAATTTAGCCCAGAATAGATACATTTGATGTATCCATCACTAAAGGAAGTAGTGTTCACAACAGCAAAGAGTTGTTCTCTCTCCCTGTTATGAAATAATACATTCCTTGATTAAAAGACTGCATTTTTGAAAAGAGTATACTTCAGACTAGAATTTCATATGGCTTTTCAAGCATAGGGGCATAGCAATTGGAAAGCTGACTTGAATTTTAAAACATAGGGATTTTAAAAATGGAATTGGGCTTGGCATTTATTAGCTGCCTGCTATTTGCAAATGATGTAACTTGACTATGCCTAAATTCCTTCATCTGTAAGGTAAGGATAAGGATGCCTACCTTGAACGGCTCTTACGAGTGTGAAGAAAATGTACAGATGCCCCAGCACGGCAAAAGGCAAGCACTCAGCTAATAGGAGCCACTGACAGAGCTGGGGCCACGCCGCTGTCAGCCTCGGGGTGCAGAGCTGTGGCTGTCTGGAGCAGTGATCGGGGTGCACGGCTTAATAGCGTTAGCTTTGGAGAGTTGGAGAGAGAGCTCCATTAACTTCAGATTTTCATGAGGGAAGGACACATTAATTCCAATCATTTCTTTGATCCATACCTTGGTAATATAAAGGAGGTAACATCAGTTTTTGAAAATTACTTGAATTAGGAGTTTCCTGGTTAAATTTCATTGAACCTCCTAGAAGTAACTCATGGACTTCCACAATTACTTCGGTCCAGTCACTGGGTGCCACTTAGCACCAGCCTGCTGTTCTGATGAAATGGTGTGACAGCAGTGAGAGCCAGCGGGGACTCCTTAGTGTGCCCATCTATTCCCAGTGCTCTTGGTTCCTTGAAAGACCTAATGATGCCCAATTACATCTAGTGAGAGCAATCCGAGAGAGTCACACACAAAGGTGGGTTTTTTCCCCCCAGGTTTTTTAAACACATTATCTGCATGTCCCAGGTAGGTCAGCTAGGAAGGAGGTAAGATACGGCTGAATTACTTAAAGTGCTTAAGAAATGACCCGGATAGAATATCCATAGGGGTTAGGAAACGGAATTTATTTCTTGGTTTAGCATTTGGGCAGAAATTACTTGGCATTTGTCACTTGCAAGATAAATAGAAGTTCTGATTTCTGTTCTCAAGAAAGTACACTTGGCTTCTTACTTTCTCTGTGCTTACCCCTTGGCCCGCATTTTGTATTAGAATTTGAAGGGATAGGCTCAGTACTTTGCTTTTAGTCAATTTGATGAGTTCACATAGTCTCATCCCTGGGTTATTAAATAGTTCAGAAATAAATATTGCAGCAACTTGTTGAATATGCAACATGCATCTCATTTGAGTGGCATTTTATAACAAATGGTGATTATTTAGTATTTACATGTACTCTGAGAGTATTTCAGATTAGCTCTTATTAATAATGAGTAGTCAAATATGTAACTGGACTCAATGGGCTAGAGAAAAAGAAAATTTTGATTTTCCACAAAAAGTTTCAAGCCCCGGAAGAGAGAAAAATACACATGTGTCTTTGTATATGTATGCATGTGTGGGACAAATACATGTCCCAAGCGACATGACTGAAGGAAATTAACCCGGACCAAAATTTAGGCTGCCCAGTGAACCAGGCTACGGTTTCATGGAAGTCAGCGACCTGCTCTCACTCCCTGGGCTTTTGTGCAAAGACTAGAGGAAGCTGTCCACAGCCTGGGTTCTGAGAACATTCCTAACCCAGGAGGGAAGGCTTGTGATGAGCTCATGGGGCTTTCCAGCGTTGACCAAAGACCTTGGCAACCAGGAGTTTCCAGAAAGGAAACCTGGCCTTTAAGTTAACAAGTGTCTTTTGCAACATACTCGGCTCTAAACACAGGTCACTATTTAAGTACTGGGGTCAAATGGACATGCCTGGTGGGGTTAATGAACAGAACTGGTCCCTCCCAATAAGGGGACTGAGGGCGACACTGGAGTGTGGAGATTAGGAGGATCCAGGGTTGGTCCTCCCCTGAAGGAACTACATGGATGCATCTTGGACTTGAGTGTGAGAATGCATTACGTTAGCTTCCATAATCCTGGGAAAAGTGTTAAATCATGAAGTCACATAAAGTGTGTGTCTGTGGGGGGAGGCTGTCAGGGGAGGAGGAAATAATTGTTTCCCTTCTCTCCCCTGGGGTGGGGTGGGGGGACTCTCCGTTGCGCCACCTCTCACCAATCCCCCCATCTCACTTTTCCTGGCTCAGACCTGGCCCCGTCCATGTTCTCTTCCGCTGTCCCCAGGCCCCCATCCGATCTTTCCCTACCCCCAGACAACCACTCTTAAGGAACCGGGAGCTTGGGGAATTTGTTCAGGCCAGCCGCACGGAGGTCGCTGCGGTCGGAGAGGGCGTGGGGGAGGAGGAGGAGGACCCCCGGCGCAGCCGTGGTAGATGCGCCCTGCCAAGAAGGGCGGGGGCTCCGGAGCGCGCACGCGGAGGAGGAGAAGGAGGGAGCGGGGAGGGCGTGTGAGAGTGAGCCACAAGAAAAGGGAGCGCGCCCGCCGCCGCCGCCCTCCTCCGGAGAGAGGCTGGAGTGAGGCTGTGCGAAGCGCCGCATTTCAATGAGAGCCGGCAGAGGCGCATCCCTGCACTAGCGGCTGCAGCTGAGACGCCCGCGCTCCCCAGCTGCTGCAGCCCAGCCCCGGCCCCGCCGCCGCCCCGCAGCCCCGCAGCCCCGGCCGCGCCCAGCCCGGTGAGGACAGCACCAGGAGGCGGCCCCGAGCGCGGCCACAAAGACCCCCGGCAGCGTCTCTCTGCGGACCGGTGCGTGGTTTGCCTTCGCTGGGGAAGGGAGCTGCGGGCAGGGCCGGCCCGGGCGGGTCCCTGCCGGGGGACTCGCAGCGTCCTCTCCTCCCGCCGCCGTGGGGCGCCGAGGAAGCCCGGGGCGTGCAGGGCAGGGCGGGCGCCCCCCTTGGCCCGGCGCCGCCGCCACCCAGCCCGCCGTTCCTCGAAAGGCGCTGCCCTGCGGTGGCCAGACTGGCCTTGGCCTGGGGTGGTGTGTACGGGCGGCTCCCGGGCTGCTGGCACCTGCCTCTTTTGTCTGGTGCCACCGGGCTTAAAACGGGGAGTAGGGCGCGCCCCCCCTCCACCCTCTCAGCCAGGCTTTTCGCCACGTTGTTAGTGGAGATGGAGAGCCAGGGCGGAGGAGGTGGGCGAGGTGTTTGTCATTGTCAGAACTGGCCGCGGAGGGAGGACCAAGTCTGCGCCTAGAAGGAGTGGCCTGGCCAGGCCTCTTATTGTGTGTGTGCTTTCTCGTGTGCCCGGGAGGGTGGTGTGCTTGAAGATGGGGCGATCTGTGCGTGGTGGGTGGCTGCAGTGTGGGTGTTGCAAGTACATTTGCAGGGTCTCAAGTTCCTTCAGGGACAGCGAGGCTGCCTCATGGACAAATTAGTACCTGCAGTGCTAAAAGCATGCGGAGAGGAAATGGCATTTTCCTCCTAGTGGGAGCGCATGCACAGCCCTGCATTGCCCCACAAAAGAGGCTGCTTTTGAAAACCAGGTTTGCGCGGAATCACTGCTGGATTTGGAAAGCCAATGCTTGTAAGAGATGGAGCAAATGAAAGGTTTCATTCAAACTGGCTCCCTCTCTCCGCACCTGTGTGTGTCCAGGTTATGGTGCACACGCGGTGAGCGGCCACACTGCAAGGTGTTCCGTGAATATGCTTTGTGAATGTTCCTAAATATATCGCCTTTCCACTGGAAAGGAAAGTAGGACAGTCTTTTAAGTATTAAATGTCACATGAAGGCGGGTCAGAAGGGATTTTAAGAGGGGTTATATGTAGGCACATTATAAAAGATTGGCACACATCCTGTGATGTCTGTGTCCACGGTGGTACATGCACTCTGAAGGTGTGTGTGCACGCCTCTTAGTCCACGCCTGCCCATCCACTTGCATCCTAGTCCTACTGGCAAAATATCCCCGGGGACTTACAAGTCCAGCGTCTGTTTAGATGTGGTAATCTTTATGCCAGATTATTTTTGGGGGTGTGTGTGTGTGTAGATCTCTGAAACAGGAACTCATATCTTATCTAGAGAAGGATGAATGCAGAGGTTCCTCAAAATGGTGAGAAATCCCACAGAAGACAATTGAGGATGCTGATTTCTTTGCATGGCAGTGTTTATAGGAAGATCTCAGATAAGAGCTGGGCCCCCTTCTTCCCCTCTCAAGCGCCTGTGATCTCTGTGGCTCTGGCCCTTTGGTTACCTTCTTCGTACCATGACACCCATGTGCCCAGGCGCCTAGCCATCGATGGTCCATGAATGTGTGTCTCTGTGCTTCAGCGGTTTCCTGTGCAGAAAGCAAGAACCTGTAGAAGTCCAGGGAATCTTCTCTAGGAGCTGGTGGTTCAAATACGTGACTAAGCCATCTGGAGAGCTGAGCCAGTCAAGGCAAGAGAAGGAACACCTATTTTGATGTCGCACATAATTATGGAACATTAGGGTGTATAGTGTGGTTTTTGACATTCCTTTAGTGGTAGCCGTAGCCTTGAAAATGATTTCACTTTGAGTGTGGTTTTTCTTTGTCCCCAGCATCATTACTTACTTTTGGGCAGGCTCAGTGAAGGGAAATCAGAGATGTGCTTGTCCTGGTTAAACATATGATCAAGTTTGAGGAAATACACAAATAAAACAAAATCAACTTTTGTCTATTTTAAAATTGACTCCCCCCCCCCCCTTTGGGGGTAGAACTCTTGGTTCCAGAAGTCTGATTCCTCTAGGGAATGCCTACATTATTTGCCTTTTGCAAGTTGTGAATCGATAAAAGCCCCTTCACACTACATTGGCACTCTCTTCTGACACAGTTGTGCCACTCTTTGCTATGGTCCTACCTGTTGTCCCTTGGTTCATATAGATTGGAGAGGAAACCCCTCAGGTTGTAAGATTGCTTACTGCCTTTAAAAATAAAACAGAAGCTTCAAAAGCCGACCTGGCCTTCGTAATATGTGAAGTTTGAAGAGCTTAGTGAGGTGGTATGAGTACTCCTCCCTCCGCAACCCACCCCTTTTAGAAGACAAAACAGCTCATGTTAGGAGGAGATTAAGAAAAAAGTGGGAGCAATGATACCATGGGCAAAATATTGGTTCTGTTATTCAGCTGCCTGAGGAACTGGATCACTGTTTTGAAGTTATCCAACTTCAAAATCAATGAAACTAGTTCCTATCTACCTATGTATGGTATCACTTTTTCTGGAAAATACAAATTTAGGCTATTATGAGTTATTAAGAGACATGAGGTAGTTTTCATGCTTGGAGGAAAAAAGATACACTGAACTAATAATCAGTCCAGGTTTGAGGTCTCCCCCCACCCCCACCCCGGGGTCAGCAGTATAATGATGAGCAAGTGAAGACCTTATTGGCCTGGCCTAGTGACCACAGTCCCCTCTGTTTGCAGAGGAAGACTTTCTCAGTTAAGTAGCCTCCTCAAGGTCACAGGCCTGGTTAAGAGTCAGGGCTTTAAAAACCCCTATTTTTATGGGGAAGGGGTCTAGCGAAGGTCTCAAGGAGTCTGGCCTCTAAGACAAAGCACATGGGGCAGAAAGATGGGAGCGCCAGCTTCAGACTCCGAGTAAACCTACTTTCAAATCCCAGCTCTCTCAATTATGACTCTGGGACCCTACCTCTATCCCATACTTGCCTTCAGTCATAATATTATTACTGACCTCACTGGAGTGTTGTGAGGGTTAGAAGGGAATTGTTAGCATATTACACAATTAATTGCTGAATAATAGTGTCAGGCATGCCACAGACATTCAATAAACTCTAACTTCTTCCACTTCATTTCAGGAGTACACAATCTCTAGCAGTGCTTTTAAACATGAACTTTGAGCCACTCTGAATGGATCAGACGTTAGTCTACTGAGGGTCAAGGAAAGGTCAGGGAGGCTTGGCAGTACTTTTGGTTAGTTTGGACTGACCTTCAGAAAGGCAGCATCATCTATGTGGTGGGATTTGGGGAGCACTCATAAGGTTCTTGCCCCATACTTTCTGTTTCACTTATATTGTATTTCACCATGCCGGAAATTTTGTCATCAAAACTTCTTTCCTTTGAATGCTTTCTAGATTGACCTGTTAAAATCCGGATCCCCTGCAAGGGTCAACATCACAAGCCTTTCTCACCTAACACCTTAGCAAGGATGCATTGATCCCACAGGCAGCTTGCTGATGATAGGGCTCTATAGAAAGTCCAATGGGGACCGTGGGGGAGCAAGCATATCTTTCAGAAGGGTCGTGAGATGAAAATCAGCAGACTCCCAAGGAGCTTTCCTTACCAGAAGGGGGAGATTCCATTCCTACTAGTTCTTTCTGTGACAGAGTTAAGAACAGAAAAGCAGATCTTATTAATAAAAAACATTAATACTTAATACATGCTTGATACTCTCTCCAGTGCTTCATGTAACCACACTTAATATTAATTAAGAGGTAGATATGACTGGCGTTCCTATGTGTAGTTGAAGAAGCGAGTCTTTAAAGATGTTGATCCAAACTTGATACTGTACTAACCTTGAGAAATGTACTTGATCAACATCTCTAAAGCCTCAATTCCCTCAGCCATGAAAATAGAGTGGAAGGAAAGGCAGAGCCATCCCCAAAAGTAACTTTTATCCCTTCTGTTCTTTTTCTTCTTCCTCCGCAACCTTTTTCTGCTTTTTTTAACCCAGCTTATCCGAGGCACGAAATGTAAGCAAATGAGTTATGGTGAAATCATTTTTAAAAAAGCTGTTATCGAATATGTGAATATGTCGGAAAGTCTTAAGTTGGTGGAACCTGGGGATTGATTCAGTTGGCTCTCCATCTGGCAAGGGGGAGCACAAAACTTCGTGAACCGTTTTTCATCTGTTAAATGCTGACCCCCCCCCTCCTTTTGGTTCCTGGCCCACCACCACGTCCTATCATCAGCCCTATGGTAATATGAAAGCTTATCTTCCATCTGCCACCAGAGTGAGCACACTGTAGGGAGGTCTGGACTTTGGAGTCAAGCAAACCTGGGTGGGAGGTCTTGGTTCAAGCATTTCTCGATGGTATGACTTGGAGAAGTTTTTCCATGCCTTGTTTTCTTCCTCTGTCAATAGGGCTATTAGGACTTGGAAAGGTTTGCTGTGACTGGGAAGTAACAGCTGTTCAGAGCCCGAGAGGGGTCGGTGGTCCCTACATAGGAGCTGTTTCTAACTAAACGGGGGTTGACTGATAGGCTCTTTGCACAGGGCTGCGTCTTCTACTTCTTCCTTCTCTTCCAACTTGATCACGCGCATTAAATATATCATCAATTACGGCCCCATTTCCACCAGCTGCTCTTGAGCCGAGCCTTTCAAACCATGATCTTAAAATAACATCAGTATGTGTCTCTTTTTTCTTCCCCCCTTTCTGTGCCTCCCAGGTTCCACTTTAACTCCGTCATGTCCTTCGGCAGAGACATGGAGCTGGAGCACTTTGACGAGCGGGATAAGGCTCAGAGATACAGCAGAGGGTCGCGGGTGAACGGGCTGCCCAGCCCAACGCACAGTGCCCACTGCAGCTTCTACCGAACCCGCACGCTGCAGACCCTCAGCTCCGAGAAGAAGGCCAAGAAAGTTCGTTTCTATCGAAACGGAGATAGATACTTCAAAGGGATTGTGTATGCCATCTCCCCAGACCGCTTCCGATCTTTTGAGGCCCTGCTGGCTGATTTGACCCGAACTCTATCGGATAACGTGAATTTGCCCCAGGGAGTGAGAACGATCTACACCATCGATGGGCTCAAGAAGATTTCCAGCCTGGACCAACTGGTGGAAGGTGAGCGCTCACTCCCAAGGGACCCTGGAGGATATGTTCTCGTTTTTTCCACCTGTTCTAGGCACCTGCCCTCAGTTGATCTCTCAGAGGCAGCATTCAGCCCAAGGCCGTGATCCTGATTGTTCACACATTTGGGAGTTCACTTGGCTATACTGTGGTGTGGAAAGAAAAAAAAAAAAAACCCACTAATGGTATTAGGTTGGGCATCTTATAAGAACAGACTGAGGGAAAAAGTGTCTTAATTCTCTAGCATTCTCTGTTCCTTTTGTCATTCTCCTAATACATTTTAAAAGTCCCTTTAATTACATTGTTCAGTTCATTTCACATGAGCTTTTGCTGTCATGGTGTCTGAAATTACTTGAACTGAAAATAACCAATGGTTTGTGAAATTTCCGAGTGGAAAGGAACCTTGTATAGGTATTGAACCCATTAATTCTGTCACCAGAGACTGAGGCCCAGAAACTTCGAGTGACACGTCTGTGGTTATGGGGTGAGGGTGTGTTGATACTGGACTAGAAATTAGGTTTTCTGGCATTTCTTTCCAAGGTGGTGCTTCCTTTGAAGTTCAAAGGATTGTTGTCTTTCTGTGGTATTTGAAGATATAAAGGCATTAATCTGTTCACTGTATTGTTTTTCAAAGTCGAAAAACTATCTATTTTAGCCATTTCATGTGGAAAGGGACTGTTTGAGTCCACAGGTGAGACCTGCTGTCTTGTACCAGCAGAGGATGTAGACCGCTTCAGAACCAGCCCCATTTGAATGGCACAGAAAGCTCTAATCATCTTAGAAATCATAAGTAGAGTAAAATGATGTGGAGAGAGAGAATGGGTTGAATTCATGCTAAGGTGTAAATGAGGTTGGCTCATCCTCTTTGGAGAGTAGGAGTTCCTAAGTCGGAGGTGTTCGGGTCACGACGTAGTAGCTCTAGCACAGAGGAGCATGGGAAAGGAACTTAGAGTGTGGGGAGTGCCTGACTTCACCCTGAGTTCCTCTTTACTCCACATACATGTGCCTGGGCCTGTTGTCTTCCTGGATCCTGGAGGAATGCCACGCACATCATGTCCTCCCTCTCTCGTGCAGGTAGCAGGAAGCATCCCTTTCAGGGTCCCGTGGAGTTTGGGGTTCCTCGGCCCTGACCACACATAGGCGAACCCTCTTGTCCCTCTGTGGAACCAGGGTTTGTATGTGATTCAAGGCGAAGGGAGTCTTGTGTCTTTCTCCCATTTTCCTTCCCTTTATTCCATGGCAGGGATGCCAGTCCAGTCACAGTATGACGGGACTTGAGAGGGTGTGGAGAGCCTGGCTTTGGTGTGTTTATTATGTGGGAATTCACATCTCTTTTCAATGACTCGTCACCCTGCCAAGATGCCTGTAGACTTGGCCTTTTTCCTTCTATTCAGATGTTGGCACTTTCAGTAAATTAAAGGGGAAGAATGCACATGAAATCTTTCTGCATTAGCTTTGATTTTTGTGCTCTGCCCTTTTCCTGACCTTGGAAAATACCGGGATAAATAAAACATTTGGTGGGCTATTCTGAGGAGCCTGGATAAAGATGAAATGCAAAGTCAGGTGCACGATCAGTCACCAAACCATCCCTTTGAGGACTGATGGAAGTAGAGAACAAAATATGCCAAGATCTCCCAGCGCATTGTAAGGCAGCTGGGCTTGCCTTCTCACTCTGTTCTGGAGTCACTTGTGCGGCATCTAAGGGGCGGGGCTGTGTCTTTCTATCAATTTTCCGGCCAGAGCGGGTCTTTACTGAGAAGTGGCTGGAGATATTCCCATGGTTCCTGTCCACCCAGGAGAGGGTGTGCGGGGTGGGAAACAATGGTTGTCTACACACAAGGATCAGCAACATCATGGCATGCTTGTTACCATCTTCTTTTTTGGTTTTCTTAACACCATATAATGCCTGCTCTAAGAGACTGCCGTCCTGAGGAGAATAATGACAGCTCACAGTCACAGAGCATGTGTCTTGCATATATGAATATGTTTAGCTCACACAGTGACCCTAGGAGCTAGGTACGGTGACCATCCTTATACTGTGATGAGAAAAGAAAGGCGCATTGTGGTTAAGTGACCTGCTCAAAGTCACACAGCAGGAAGTGATAGAGTTAGGATTTGAACCCAGCAAGGCTGGTGCCAGACCTTAAGCTCATAACTGCCACTGATAAGATACCAAGTGGGGTATTCTTAGTGGCTTTTAAATGAAATTTTATAGTATTAGATTATTCTTGAAAACAGATGTTTTTAACCTTGACTTAATTCCAGGAATGACAGCTATAGCTACGACTCCCAGAAACACCTTAATATTTTCATTTACCTCCAAATACTTTTCTCTTCAATCAATATGAAGCAACTGCCTATTGACAATTCTGATGTTCAAAAAAATGACTTTTTGGGAAAAAAAAGTGCTTTTTTCTGATTGAATGAGTGATAACTTCAGTACAATGTGTAAGTTCACATATTGGCTGTGTTTTTTTAAAGAAATCCAGTTTAAACAGATTTTTTTTCCTCATTTATAATTCTGACAGCATGCAGCTGCACTTGGTGTTGAAGTAGCTGGAAATTCATTTAGATTGGCCTCTTTGTCAATTACATTTTTGCTTAGTCTGTTAAAATGCAAACAGTTGCTTCATATTCATCATTAGGTTCATATCTCTCACTTTACATACTAATTTTATGTAAACGTCAGTGCATGTTATTAGCTTCTCATTTCCCTTTCCAATATGCTGATGTTTGCATTTTAAATTAAATCCTTTTAGTGGATGCAGTGAAAAGTGTATTTGACTTGTAATTTTTTTTTAAGTTTGTTCTTTCTCACTTACCTCAGACTCCAAATTCTGAATTACAACGACATATGTGAGTTTCTTTATTTGTAACAGTTGCACGGTCATTTGCACTGTTATTATTACCCACAGATTATTATGCCTAAATTTGGTTTCAGCTCATTGGTAGAGCTGGTTCTTTGCCTCAAGTGTAAATGTATGAGTGAGTGTGTATGTGTCTGTGTGTGCATGATTATAATAAGTGTGTCTCTTTATGCATGTACGTATACCCACACAGACACGCACACACATATGCAAGAGCAGACAATGGATTAGCAGTTTTAATTATTTGCTTTCCAAATGGCCTTAATACATTAAAAAAGTCAGGATAATTAATAAGGAAAGTGGAATTGCAGTCCTATTTCTGCAAGTGGTTCACCTTGAGACTTGGCCTCATTTTCCCAATATTGCCTCTTTTTTCCCCAATTTTACACTATTTATGTTCCACCGTAGGTATGTAAACGTTGTGAAGGGTAAATGAAGAAATAACTTTAAAAACTTTAAACTCTTGGGAGAAAGATGTCCTGGGAATCCCAAGCATTGACTGATTGATTTTGTTTCGATCAGACGCTGAAGCCTCAGTGAGGTCTGTGTTGGGGGTGAGCCATCCACGCCCCCCCACTTTGAAATAGGCTTTATTTTTATTTTTTTTAATTTTTATTTATTTATTTATTTTTAAAGATTTTATTTATTTATTTATTTAACAGATCACAAGTAGGCAGAGAGAGAGAGAGAGGAGGAAGCAGGCTCCCTGCTGAGCAGAGAGCCCGATGCGGGGCTCGATCCCAGGACCCTGGGATCATGACCTGAGCCGACTGCAGAGGCTTTAACCCACTGAGCCACCCAGGCTCCCCAAAATAGGCTTTATTTTTAGTTTAGTTTTAGGTTCACAGCAAAACTGAGCAGAAGTACCGAGATTTCCCATTTACCCCTTCTCTCAACACATGACCAGCCTCTCCCAGTGTCATTAGAGGGGCACAGGTGTGATGAAGCTGCACTGACTCTTCATTAGCACCGGAAGTCCAGAGTTTACATTCGGGCTCACTCTTGGTCTTGTGTGTTCTGTGGGTTTTGGACAACAGTGTAATGACATGTATGTACCATTGTGGTATTATCCAGAATAGTTTTATTGCCCTAAAAATCCTCTGTACTCTACTGTTTCATCGCCACCTAGCTCCTGCAAGCCACGAATCTATTTGCTGTCTTAAACAGGCATTCTTTTTTTTTTTTAAAGATTTTATTTATTTACCAGAGAGAGAGAGAGAGAGAGAACACACAAGCAGGCAGAGAAGCAGGCACCCCGCCGAGCAAGGAGCCCGATGCGGGACTCGATCCCAGGACCCCGGGATCATGACCTGAGCCAAAGGCAGCGGCTTAACCAACTGAGCCACCCAGGTGTCCCTAAACAGGCATTCTTTTAACATCTTGTGTGAATGTAAGTATGAGAGGGCCAGGGCATTTCCTGTCAGCAGTAACATCAATGCTATTCAGGTGTGTTGTCTTCTGGATATAAATAAGTTGATTTGTATGTCAGTTCTGTCTGTATTAGTAGTGAGTCCCTTTCTTTCTCAGCTCTCCTAAACCTTGACTTGCCCCCCTTTACTGTGGACACTGTCTGACTCTGGAGCTGGAGTGTTTTGTTTTGTTTTGCTTTTAAAGGTTTTATTTATTTATTTGACACACACAGAGAGATTACAATTAGGCAGAGAGGCAGGCAGAGAGAGAGGAGGAAGCAGGCTCCCTGATGAGCAGAGACCCCAATGCGGCGCTCGATCCCAGGACCCTGAGATCATGACCTGAGCCACAGGCAGAGGCTTAACCCACTGAGCCACCCAGATCAGACCCACTGAGCCACCCAGATCAGAGCTGAAGTGTTAGGGCTGTTCCCAAGTCCCCACCAGAGTTAACCTCTCAGGAACAACCCCACACTTCACCCCACAGTTAGGGAATCTCTAGCCACAATTTCCGGTCACCCAGTTCTCCTGGCAATATTTCTTCCCCTTGATGTGGTTTCATCGATTTCTTTCTGTAATTCACTGGCTTCTTCTGTGCCTCTTCCTACGGTGGTAAAAGTTTTAAATGAATTCTGGAATGGCTCTAATGCATACTCTCTCTAAGGCTCCCCTCAGGCAAATAGTTTACTTGTCTTGTTGTTGTTGTTTTCGAGTATCA